TAAAAAAAAAAAAAAAAAAAAAAAAAAAGGCATTACTAATATCAAATAGTCCCCTACCATCCAGTTGGCGGCTTTGGCTACCTTCTGTGACTCTTTTTTTTTTTTTTTTTCCCCTCTCACCTCACATATCGTTTAACTGGCATTCTGCCATGTCATGCATGAAACATATCTTTCTTGCTTTTCAGAACCTACCTACCACTACTCCTAATGCTATAGCACAGGGGAGTCAGGGGACCCCTGCAAGAATAGCTTTCTACCTCTTTTCGGTGAAGGGAAGTTACCTCTCAGGGTGCAGAGAGGTGACGGTAGTAACGGCATGTTTGCACCTTTGCCCTAGCATTTAGTGTGCAGGATTGCATGTTTGTGCCTTTGCCCTAACATTTCGTGTGCAGGGTTGGGGCCGCCAGTGGCGGCTTCCGGCTAACACAAGGACCGAGCATTTGCCAGTAAAAGTAACTGTGCCTCCCTCCCTTTTCATCTTCCCCCGCCCCCATCAAGTAACAGTATAGTATCTAGTAAAGCCAACACTCTCCCACACACACCAGGCGCAACCCACTCACACACGCACTCACACCCGTGTTGGCCGAAAACCTTACTAATTAATACCGCCTGGGAGGATCCAGCTGACTATGACTATCTCTGTGGGTTGGCACCAAGAGTGCTACAGGCGGCCATGGGGATTGAACCCTCGACCTCCTGAATCCCACTGGCTTGCCTAGCCAAATTGAGCTAGGCCACAAGGACCAGTACACCGCGGGTAGGAGAGCACAGGGTCAGCCCTGGATCCAAGGGACTCGTCCGTTTTCTTTCTTTTTTCTATAACCATAATGGTCTCGTCAAAGTGTACGGCGGGTCTCGCGTGACGCTCCCGCGAGACCCGGTTGCCACTCTTGCGAAAACGGGGTTTCCCTCTTGGGCCTGCTGTGCTGTGTGGGCCGCATTGCCTGCCGCGTTTGCGAACCTTTCACCACACATGTCCGAACACACAAGTACATAGCGGCGGCCGGCGGGAGGTTTCCGTGCTTCACACAGCTGGCAGATCTGTGGAGTTTTTTTCATCTTTTTTTGTGGTTCACAAAGCTGGCCGACTTGACCATAGCGGTGGCCCTCGCTCCACCTTACACGAGATACGCAAAATGAGAATGCATCTTCCGCTAGAACATTGGAAGAAACACCGCCATATTTTCTTGTTGTTTGTGAATGTCGTTAAATAGTGGAGTGAGACGGCGTATCTTTCCATGTTCTAGCGGAAGATTCGTTCTCATTTTGCCTACATTCGGAGAGTGACGGAGCAAGGCCCGTTCGTGATTTCGACACAACTCTCCACATGCACGAAACACGCAAATGTAGCCATGTATAAGTGACCACAATTAACATAACCACAGTCAGAGTATCAAACAGAAAACCCCAAGAAGCATCAAACATTTCTGACAAAATCCATGGTGCGAATTTGATATAACAAGCACTGGCTCCCAGTGCAATCTCATAAAAAGCTATGAAACACAGACCTGAAGAAATTGAAACACAAGTGGTTGTTACCAAGGCAGCCCCTCGTGAACCAAGAAAGCGACCTTTTTTTCCATGTTCTAGCAGAGGATTCGTTTTCATTTTGCAGATTTGGAGCGTAGGGGACCAAGGCACTGCATTTACTATCCAAACATGCAAAATGAAAATGAATCCTCCTGTAGAACATGGAAAGATACACCACCATATTTTTTGTCTTTTGAACATGTGGGGAGGGGTGGAGCCAAATGTAGCAGTGTATCCTTTCTATGTTCTAGTCGAGGATTCGTTATCATTTTGCACAATTGGAGAGTAGCAGAGCCAGGCCCTGCATTTACTCTCCAAATGTGCAAAATGAAGATCGATCCTCCTGTAGAACATGGAAAGATACACCGCCATATTTTTTTATCTTTCGTACGTGTGGAAAGTAGTTGAGCGAGGCCCCCCATAGTTTCACGACCTTTCGAAGCGAAGCCATGAGCCCCTCACTCCATGACTCTCCACATGCACAAAAGACAAAAAAGAAAAATCAGGGTGTATGAATCCTCTGTTGGAACATGGCAAGATGCATTGTAATATTTTTTTGTTTTTTGTGCATGCGGGGCGTAGTGGAGCGAGGCCCTGTCGCTCACACGCCTCGAGTCCAAATCCTGAATCCCAATGTGTGGGATTGGAGCGCAAAATGTCTGAGTGATAGGGCCTTGCTCCACTACTCCCCAAATGCACAGCGCTTTGTGTTTGTTTTGTGTTGTTTTGTTTTTATTCTTTTTTGTCTTTTGGCGACATGCAATCCCTTCATTGTGTGAGGTAGATATCATTGTATGCGCAGCATTTTGGTTTGGGATTTTTTTGGGGGGGGTTGGTTTTTTGCATTTTTTGTTCCGGGGTCGTCGTACCGCCCACCCTGCAGGACATAGCCCACCTTCATCATTTCATGCCCACCTTCATCATTTCATCTCGGTCCCCACCTCCAGGCCACGACGGCTTTGCCGCAACAGGTCCGACTTGTCTGTCGAATACTTCTTACAAGGAAAACCCGGTCCCTGGAAGACGGTTCCCAGGGTCCCAGAAAAAATCGGTTCAACAGGGCTGTCCGATGGGACACACGGCGTACCAAGTTGTGTTTTTGGGCAGCGGCACAGGTTCGAGGATTGGAGGGCGCGCGGGACTTCTCTCCTCCACCAGGGCGCTGTCGATGGGGACACGCCAGAATGTTTCAAAATTGTTGCTTGGGCCATGCATTTCGAAATTGTTGCTTGGGCCGTGCGTTTTGAAATTTCCGTTTGGCCCGCAGCACGCCAGAATGTTTCAAAATTGTTGCTTGGGCCATGCGTATCGAAATTGTTGCTTGGGCCGTACGTTTCAAAATTTCCGTTTGGCCCGCACTTTTGCAGAGGGATTTGCTGTTCCATACAACCGGTTCAGACCCGTCACGTGCAGAGGGTCTTCCGTCCAGTTCGTCGCTTTATGGTGGACAACCCAATGGATGTTCGAATGCAATTACATAGCAATCTGGTTTCGGTGCATCGCAGTTGTTCTGTTTCCTTTTTTTTGCCCTTACACAAGAGTTCTTCTCACTTTCCGTGGCAGGTTCGCACCTCTGGAGGTGATTGGATTCAGATTCCTCCAGGTTTGGCTGCAAATGCTGCCAGATGCATTGTGGGAAGTGCAAATGTGAGGGCGTACACAAACTAGCAGTAATCTCATCTGGCCGTAATTGTTGCCAGATGCATTTCAGAGAGTGCAAAAGTGAGGGCGTGCAAGGGTGCACTCACACAGCTGTTTGGTATGGCGCTATCATTCAGCGCATGGCCACTGCTCGAATACAATAGCAGCCCGTTTTTGTGGTGTGTGTTTTTCGTTTTTCTTTTTTAGTGGGAGGACGGGGAGCAGGGGTAAATGGGTGGGGGGTTGGCGGAAGGTGAGGGGGGTTGTTGGTAGCCCGAGCAGGTGCGATGTCTGAATACAAATACATGAGCCTCTTTTGCTTATGTCTGGACGCAATTGGAGGATGCTATTGTGGGGTTGTCTGTTAGGACATCCTTGCACAGTCCTTTCCTAGGGCATGGCTTGCACATGATTGTTTCTTAGGGCATGTTCGGACATAGTTGTCTTTTGCAGCATCCTGACACTCGGCCATCTCTTAGGGCATGCTCACACTTTTTTTTTTTTTTTTTTTTTTTTTTTTTTTTTTTGGGTGATTAGAGCATCCTCCAATAGCAAGCGCCAGATTATAGATGGCTCCAAGCATCACCTGCTGGCAACCGGGTCCAGCGTCCCACTGACAAGATCGGAGGCAATATACCTGGCGGAACAGCATTGATTGCCCTCTCACGAGGGGATTGACTACCCGCCCAATTATCAGCCAGGTCACAGCATGTTTGAAGATGTAGCCATGGGGAGGATAACAAACTTTCCTCCACTCTACCCTAATCCTTCACAGTCATAACCGTGCATAGCAAACCCTAGACCCCCTCCGTGCATAAGGCCGCTGCCCAGCTCCATGATTCTCATTTTCCTCCAGCGGAGGTCGTCTGCCTACCCTCCCTTATCCTAAGCTATTCACCCGGCAAAGGTTATTGTCGCAGAATTACTTTTGTCAAATTTCTGGCCGAGGTTAGTGACATCTGCGACATATATCATTATGTTTATTATTATTATTATCACACATCTGCCATACATGCTCTTGCCCCTGCCATTTCACCAACCGGAGTTCTGCCCATCCCTTATCGATTATCCTAGCTCCTTCCCCTATCCACCGCCCAAACAACAGACCTTCCACTCGGTCCTCTCCTTCGTGCCCCCTACCCAGTGCCAACCACAAAATATGACAGTTGGAACAGGCAACAGGGAGGGAGCAAGGGGAAACCCTAGGTCAAAGAGGCATGCCGACAGATGATTTGCGCAGGAGTGAAACAATCAAAACACATGCCAAACCCATCCAACCCACCCCTCCCCGCAATCAACTGCCTGAGCCACCCCCATGATTATACCATGCCGCAGCTCATTAGTATCAACTTCAGGGGGGGGATGGCATGCCCCTGCAAAATCGAAAAAAAACTGGTCGTCGACGTCGAAGTACAGTGAATCATCACGCCAAGGTATCATTGCCCGCATCAGACTGCTGGGTAGATGACGAATCATTTGTTAAAAAAACTTTCAGAACAAGTGGGGGAACCGCATCACCTACCTCCGCCAAACTGCCATTATCACACCATGATGACAATGCCTTTGATCTTCAGCGGGCTGTTCATAAGACTGTGAAACGCAAGTCAACAAAACCTCCGCAGCAAGCGCCCGGATCGCCGCTCCCATGTCCGTCAAAACTCCATTAACCATGTGATCGTCACCCAATTCATCACACGCCTGCGCAGATGGCCGCTGCTTCTGAACACAGAGTGGAATAATTGGTGACGTCACTATTGTAGGTGTTGTAATTGTCAGTGTTTCTCTTGTTGCCGTCGTTGATGTTGTTGATGTTGTTAATGTTGCCGATGTTGTTGATGCTGTCCATGTCACGCTATCTTGGCCTTCAGATGAGAGCAACTCACCTGGTGGACCGCCCACGTCTCTCCTTGCTAGAAACCCGGTGAACATGTCTTTCACCTGCGTCAGCATCCCAGCACACTCGTATAGGGCAATCACCGCCTGTGCTCTGTCATTCGCATCCACCTGTCGAAGAGAGATCTGCTCATGCAGTTCCTCCTCCCACCCATCGTAGGTCCCCTCTCCCTCCAACAAGATGTCATCTGGTAGGTTGCCATACTCTTGACTCAGCAACGCGTGCATCTCCACCAGCTGCTGTTTATACAAGGTCACGATGAAAAGTGCAGAATCTGCCTGCATGGGCTGCAGGGTAGGAGGGGTTTCCCACAGCCCCCCATCAGACATGGTCTCCATTTCCATCTCTGCCGTCGTTGTTGATGCCCGAAGCTAATACCGCTGCGCCGCAATCACGATATTTCAACAAATTCCAGCTGGCGCTACCCCTGTCCGCACATCGCGGGACACCTACGTCACCAACAGCAACTGCCACGTGGCAAACGAGACGCCACTCGCGGCTGCCGGGCGCGCGCACAGGCCTAGCGGCTGAGGGGCTCCCTCCCCCAGTCACTAGTCTAGCCGGCAGACCAGGCCTTGCCGGTTAGGCGGCGTCAGGAGGGGCTCCCTCCCCCAGTCACTAGTCAAGCCGGCAGACCGGGCCTTGCCGGTTAGGCGGCGTCAGGGCGCTAGCGCTAGCGCAGCATTTTTTTCTTTAAATCATCCATTCTCTCAACAAGTCCCCGACATAGTCGTTTCTTACAGCATGCTCACGCTCACATAGTCGAGCACGCTCACAGCTCTGAACAGCAAACCTCGGGCATCAGAAACGACTATGTGTGAGCATGCTCTGGGGTCCGAAGGGCATCGCCCGCACATGGCATCGCTCCCAACTCAGCAAACCACCCCTTCACTACGTGACACCGTCGGCCGCGGATCCTGCGGGCGAGTCCGAGGCCGAGGAGGCCGGTTGCAGGCCCACGGCCGAGTCTGCACGCGGCCGCGCCACGCCCAGGCGGGGGCGCTCACTCGGCCTGCGCACGTCGGCCGCTATCGGCCTGCATTAAAAAAAAAAAAAAAATCAAAAATTTGGGGTTTTTTTTTTTTATAGGTAGCAAAAGAAATTAAAAAAATAGGGAAAAAAGATCATTTATTGATTGTTTTTTTTAAATGATTGATTGATTGATTGGTTGATTGGTTGATTGATTGATTGATTGATGGTTGATTAATTGATTGATTGATTGATGATTGATTGATTGATTGATTGGTTGGTTGGTTGGGGGAGGGTCG